TCTGAACTGTATCTGTCTCTGATGTAAAATAAGTTACGTATGAATTCCATCCTTGTAGAAAATTCACTGATTTCCAATTGAGGAATTCACTGATAACCATTTCTATGGTACATTTTAACACTGTCTGTCCCTTAATGCTTTGTGTCTGGTGGGTGACTTGTCAACTGACACATCCAATAAAAACTAGGAAGATGATTTAGGTCAGTTAGTAACATTTACAGTGTATAATGTAAAGTTCAACTCCAGCCAAAACCTTTTTTCTATCTGTTTTGGGTAGAACGCAGGATTATGATTTCTCCTGCTGGGAGACATCTTCTCACATGCAATCCCTATGCCATTAGGACGGGATGTGAGATGAAATCTGTCAAACAGAGACACAAACAACAATAAACACATATTTAGCAAATGTGGAAGGTTTAGAACCTGTTTATATTGTGCATGTCCCAACTGAGATTTCCTATCATTCCTTTCACGTGACATGCTGAATGTCACTGTGTGTGCCTGGGAGAGAAAATGAGAGGAAGTTTTCCCATCTGTTCTAACCCTTCCCCGCTCTAGGCAAACATGAAAGAAGAAAAATGGCTGGAGTTAGGCTTTACTAAAATGTAAGTATCTTACAGGATTTGCTTACTTGTTTACCTGGTTTTGTCATTTTTTTATGCTGATATATATGAATATATGTACTGTGTACTGAATATTGCATCAGTGTCTATAATGCACGTTTCATACAAATATAAAAATGTCAGTAAAGTCTTTTCTAAAACATATTCTCTTCTCCATTGTACTCTACCTTCCCCTATGCTGCTTTCCAGATTTCTTATTGCTTATGGTCAAAAAAGGACTTATATTTTGTCAAACATGGGTCTTATAAAAACCTAAAAGCACCAACAAAACAGATCATGCTTAAGAAGTAGTGCTTAAGATTTTGAGGTCTTTTAACCCGTGCTTTCTGGAAGATATGGCATATTTGGAAGGTTTACTACATCAAAATGATTTTGATCAAACAAATAAAAGTTAATAAAAACAGTGCCTCTTGTATCTTAAAAAAAACCCAGTTTGGCTCACTGACAGTTACTATTTCTCTAGAAATCTTATGAGTTCCTTTTTGATGCCAACACAAAATACAGTTGGAGCTCAGTAATAAACCTTTGGAGATGAATAGGTTTATTATTTTATTATTTATTTATGGCACAAAATAAGATGTGCGGTGCTGACTGAGTGGCTAAACTAAATATTACACCCGTTGTCCAGAACTGATGTAGATTGTTGCTGGGTTTTCTGACAATATTTTTATGAAAACTACATGAAATAAATGACTTTACAGGTACCAAATGGCTTTTTTTGTGGTTGGCATTTCAACAAGCGTAGGGTAGGCGATACAGAAGGCGAAGAAGAGAAAATATTTAGAGAAATTGCTGTTTAAAATGATCATCATGTTATATATATTCATGTATTCCTAAATTTTCTTTAAAACTGAAGCAGATGCTTCAGGAAAAAGTATGTTTCTTTCCCTTATCCTTTTAAATGCATTATTTAAAGGGAACACATCAAGATACAAAAACAGTTTTCATTGCTGAGTTATGTTCAAAATACTTAATTATAACAACCCTGAAGCATGCACCTCTAAAACAAGTCAGCAATGGTAGCTTCCATATCCTGACAGGTTCCATTTAAAACAGAAAGGTGTACCCATGTCCCATTAAATTTGTCAAAGCTCAATTTCTGTTGAAGTTACTTACTGTGATATCAGGTGTATTGGTATCAAGAATAAAATCAATGATTCAAAAAGTTCTTATTCGCCATAGCACCCAGTCAGATTCAGTTAGATTTTTATGTGCAGCAGATAAAGCTATAAGATGAAACACGGAATCTGCCTGGTTGGTATGGGAAACAAAAGCACTGCTTGTCATCTAGTTATTTTTTAATAAACCAGATGAAGTGTGTAATACGTTTGCTTGAATGGCTCTGGTAAAACATCATATATTCAATAATACATATACGACCACATACAGAAGAAAAGAAACAACAAAACGAAACATTTATCAAGGCAAGAAAAAATAATGCTAACTTATAGCATAGCTTTATAATGGGCAGCCGCAGACTGCAATGAATGGAAGAAGACATGCTTTAAACAAGTAAACAGCTATTGTTGAACAAAAAATAAAAAATTAAAAAAAATAAAAATTAAATCAAGAGAAAACATAAACAAAAGGAAACAGAACATAAACAAATGAGATATAAAATCAAGTTGAAAAACTGAGCCTCTATGAGAAAAAAAAAAAGTTAGAACTAATGTAAGAATTTAATAAATGAATACAAAATAAATAAAACAGAGAGGTATATAGTCATCAGCAATGTGACTGGCAAACACGTCTAACATGGCAGAAGAGAGACTAACATGAAGCAACAGCTTAGCAGCAAAGCGAGTTTGTATCATGGCAAAGTAACCTGCAATCAGCTACTGAGGTAGGAAACACTTTGTGCTGTTCACGGCACACAAGAAAGTACAGTCAGCTTAGAAAAACAGCAAAGCCAATAATCATGGCAACACATAAGAATGGAACAGCCTCAAATAAGCATTTAGGTTGGATTCGGGGAGCAGTTAACATGCAGAGCATACACAGGACACACCTTCCTCTGGTAAGGAAGGCACTACAACAGCAGAGGAGTCTGCTTCACTTTTTGTAATGCTTTTTCCATCTGCTATTTCGCATACAACACTTTCCTCTTGGTGTTGTGTGTCATCAGATCCTGAATCTGATTGGACCTGGCTGAGCCCCAAGCTGGAGGACTCAGTTGGCCTGATTTCTCCCCCCTGAGCTTTCTCGTCTTCTTTCTCAGTCACAGGACCCTTAACTCTCTCTTCTTTGGTGTTGGAAAACAAGATGACATGAAGAGAACAGATAAGACATTCACAGGAGTTATGAATAGAACACCTTATCAATGAAATATTTTGGTAAAATAAAATAATTACACACATATATGGAGCACCAGTTGACCTGAATTATTTTGAAACTTTACTCTTCTACTAGTTTTAATTTGCCATATTTCTGACTTTGGGCCCTGAAAGAACAACGGTGTTGCAAAATGCATATGGCTTGAAATAATATGGACAGTAATTGACTGATGATCAATGGTGGGTTTAAATGCTAGACCTTCAATGGCTGAGGTTTCTAATTAAAGTGTGGTACATTTATTTGTCTTCTTTATTTAACTTGCCAGTACACTTTAAAATACAAACTACTGTATTTGTAGCACACATCCTAACATTGAATATAGGGCTTGGTTGTCACATTTTATTTTGATAAATGTGACCATGTATGCTTATAATATGTATTGGTATTGTGTTATCCACATGAAAGATGTACAATGTGATGGATTTGCTACACAAACAAAATTTTCACTAAGCTGCCTTGAAGCTGTACTCATTTCACATGCCCAATCATGTCCAGGGATATTAATTAAAAAAAATAGGAACTAGAATTGCTATATTGGGCTAGCTGAACATCCTACTTCTTTAAAAAGCAACCCAAATGTGTTTTGCCTATGAAGGTGCTCAAAGGACTGCTTCTCACACTCTAGTGTGCTCCAGATAACCTAGCCTAACGGCATATCATGGGGTTGATTTAATAAAGGAAACTAGGCTGTTCATTTGCAGGAGAATTTTCACTTTGTAAGGGAATTTTCACTTAGCTTAGTGAACAAGGTGAAGCTCTGCTGACTTCCATCATCAATACATGTGCAAACAAAAGTACTGTTTTCTTTATTTTCCTTACATGTGTTGGTTATTCTATGCAAAGTGAATTTTTACCACAATTACTTAGCTAAGGGAAATTAGCCTTGTAAAGTGAAATTCTCTTGCAACAGGACAGACTATTTGCCGTTAGTATGTTAACCCATTTATGTCAATTTGTAGCTTAGTTGTTAAACTCTAAAAAACAGACCTCTAAATATTAATGCAGCTATATATCGACCTATAGAAACCCTGTGAAAAAGGAGCAAACCAAGTATCTGTAAAAAAAGAAACAGAAAACTTACCTCTTCTGCCACCTGCCCGGCTGAATGCTGTTTCGATCCTGAGCAATGGGCCCCAAAAGTCCAATGGGAATCCAACACTTCCAGTAGTGTTGATCTCCTGGATCCCCCACAGCTCCATCTGGTTACTTCTCCTCCTGCTGACTTCCACATCATTACAGGACACACTGTTGACATGGAGGTCAACAGGCAGAACAAGTGACAGCTGCAGGAGACTTGGGGGATTGATTGGAGTGTGGGCAAACTTGGGGGGATCAATTTCTCAAGATTAGAACGGTCTTTAGCACTGAGGTCAGCAGGAAAGCTAGTATTGTGTTTCTTTTAAATATAGCAGGACCACAGTTTGTATCTGAGTGTGATGGGGAAATGGTGTCAGATGTTGAAGGGAACATAACTCTTTTATGACTATTTTAGAAAAGCATAAATAGTTATTTTGTATAGAGAAAGAGCTTCTACCTCCTAAAAGAGATAGTGTATTTGTATAGAGAAGGAGTCGGAGTCCTAAATGAGAACTGTTTTTTTATTAATAATATTACTAATATAAAAGAGTGGCACATATTTTCCCAAAAATCCCTCTTTATGAAGTGAACTTTTCACAATTGTCATAGAAAATACTACAGAAAATAACTACACTAACACTGTTATCCAAGAAAACTAAGAATAAAATGTGATTTAAAAAATAAACTATAAGAGCTATCTAGATTTTATCCAGTAAAATATAATTTTCCATTGTTAGATCATTCCCAAGTGCAAAGTATTCATTAAAATGCAGTGTATGACATGGATATGGTTAAATGTATATATATATATATATATGAGTGAAAGGTAATTGGTAGGTACGTGGTAGTAGGAGTTTAGCCGTATTGCCATTAGATCATGATATTTCAAAATTTTCTGCATTACTTCTGTGTATTGCACATTTTACACACATATTCTCAAGGGACAGTTCCATAACAAGGCCTTACCTTCCTCCACCATTCCCATCTGTTCTGAAGCCGGTGAAGGAGGAGGGGAAGGAGGCAGATTGGTTGTATCTTCTACAGCTAGGATTTAAAGAAAATTAAAGCAGGTCAATGATATGCACGACTCTATCAATGATAAGAAATGTAAGAACATACATAAGATCTGCATTAACAGAATGTAGAACAGGAATACCAACTGGGATCATAGTGTTTGAAGTATGAGTTCAGCAATATGCTCTGAAAAAAATGAAATTACATATACTTTGCATTTTTACTTAAATTACATTTGTCCCCAATAAATATAAAAACATTTTTGGGTTGAGGTAAAATAGGATTTTTGTCTTACCTGTAAAATCATTTTTATGAAGTATTACAAGACACAGGATTGTAATTCTAAAACCGTGGCTTATAGTTCCACCTTCAGGAGATTAAACGCTAGCAAAGCTGTAAGGACAACCCGGTATAACCCCTCACACCTCCTTTAAGCCTTAGTTTTGTAGCAAGCAATAACAGGAGTGGATCACAATGTTTTCCAAGAAAAGATTTTACAGGTAGGACAAAAATCCTATTTTCTTAATTATACATTACAGGACACAGGATGGTTATCATGAAACCATGGCAACTCTAAAAGCAGTCCAACCGCATCCAACTGTGGGGTAGGCAACACAAAAGAAAGAAAAGACAGGGCTCTAAAGCCTAAAGGGCCCCTTGAAGATGCCAGCATGCACTAAGGCCTGAACTTCCACCTGGTAAAACTTAATGAGCATGTAAACTGAAGACCAGGTGGCAGCCGTGCTTGTCTGTGAAATGAAAGCATGATGCTAAAAAGACCACTAAGCACTGGATATAGTAGAGTGTGTCCTGACTGGAAAAGGGGGAACCTGGCCCTTGAGATCATAAGCTTTGAAAATGTGTTTTCAAATCCACCATTCGATAGTGGAACAAGAAGCTGCCATTCAGAAATGACAAATAGAGAGAATATTAATCAGAAGCTGTAGCGGAGAGATAAACCTGAACAGAACTTACCACATGCAAATAATGTAGGGAATTTCTCCTAGGATGTTTAGATGCAGGACATAAAGTATGTCATGGTTAAAGTGGAAGAATGAAAGCACCTTGGGAAGGAAAGAGGCCCTCAGATTCGAAACAACCTTGTCCTTGTGCAACACAAGAAAATGTTCTCTACAGGTGAAGTTCACCAACTCATTACCTTGCCTTGAAAAAATAATGGCAACAAAGAAGGAAACCTTGCGGGTTGAGGGGAGACAGAGGAATGTCCTTAATGGGCTCAAATGGAAATCTCTGAAGGACCGACAGTACTAGGCTGAGATCCCACTGAGTCACAAGGGAGCGTACAATGTAGTGCCACAGAGGGCCCGGAGGAACAATGTAAGTGACACAGAGGGCCTCACTAAGGAGTAAGCAGCCTCTGAAAAAAACCCCCAGTAAGGCCAAGATTTGATCCTTAATGGCACTCAAAGCTAAACTTTGGTCCAGACCAGATTAAGGGACAGACAAGATTCGTCCCATTGAGAACTTTCTGGAATGGAATTTCCTTGCCTCACACCAAGTGAAGTATGACTTCCAAGTAGACTTTTTAAGGTATTGTTTTCCTAGACTTTAAAAGTGTAGGTATGACTGAATCCAATAGGCTAGTGTCATTCAGGACCTGGGATTCAACAGCTAAAGTCAGCAACCCGGAAGCAGAATGGTAAACTGGCCCTTGGGACAAGATCCAGATGATCCAGGAGGATCCATGGAGTCTCTCAGGAGCCTGGTAAAAATGTTTAAGACTTATTGATCTGAAAAATGTCAATGATTTAATTGTTTCTGTAACAAATTACAATAAAGTTTACTATGCGGTAAATAAACTTGCAATGTTTTATTTTTTTTAACTTTCTTGAACTGATGATGTGCTATGCTTAACTCAGTTAAGTAATTAGAAGTGGCAACAAATCAGGACATCTCAATATATTTTGTAAATTCTAGTCACTTGCTCTTTCCATTACAGTCCCATATTTGCATGTTTAAAACTGCTGAGCATCTTCTTGGCACTGTCAGGAATGGACAAATTCCTGGACAAATTTGCTGGACAAATTGGACCCAAACCAACAAAACTTGAATTTAGATTAGATCATTTCCTGTAGCTTTCTGGACTCCTGCAGTTGTCTCAGGGTAACAGGAATCTCTTTCAGGCACATGTCCTAAAGGCGACTTTCCTAGTGGCTTTTCCACTGAAGTATTACCTTCGGGTTCTATTCAGTAATACTGAAGTATTACCAGCCTGGTCCAATTTGTCCAGCAAAACGCAGCATTTCTTATCAGAAAAGATCGGACTCCTCATCCTTGAGTTATAGCCAACGGCATAGAGGAGAAAATCAATTGTTTCAGCTGCCGGGACTCGCAGAGAACACGTCTGTGCTAAAGCCTAATCACGGTATCACTTACTAAGAGCTTCTTACCAACTTCCTTTTAGTAAGTACCCACCCGAGAGGGGCAGTTCGGATCAACTTCAAGTACACTGCTATTTTTGCACATTTGTATATTTGCACACGGAATCCACCACTCACCTGGATTTTTTTCTCATTGGACACTTTTTTGATGTTTTTTAATACCTTTTCGTCTATTTAATTCATTGGAATGAATTTTTTTGTTATAAGTGTTTAGTGCATCATGGTTAGAGTGTTTTTGTTTATTTGCAGTGAGTTCTGTTTCACACACTTTATTAGGTTTTAGACTGGCCTCGCCAGAAAACATATTGTTCACCTTTTGCACATACATTTACCCTTAGCGCATTGTTTTTTTTCGATCATACTAGGATTTATCCCTTTTCAGAGCAGCTTCGGGTTCTATTATATATTTATATCTTCATTATATTTATTCACACATATTTTATTAATTCTTTTATTCTAACTACCACCTCTCTCCAGAAGCGCAGATTTATCTGTTTACATTCAGAAAGCTTTCCCTATTTTCTCTTGATACCATTTGGGCAGGAAATGTAAGTGATGTTTGATGTCTAATCCCAGTTGCATTTTATGGACTATAAGAAATGTCAGGACATCACGGAGGCTACTCTTTACTTGCATCTATCTATGCACATTAAAGAGGAACTCCAGGAATTGTAAAAAATTACCTCTTGCAGGGGAGCTAGCCCCGCGCTGGAAGGGTTAACTATTCGATTTGGTCTTTTGGCTAAAATAATGATATACTGACCTGATCCTCACTGCTGCATGGCTGCAAAACCGGTCTCCGCAACCTCTTTCTCCCCCCGCCTCTGGCAGTCAAAGGACCCCGTCATCATGTCAAGAGATATTTCACTGCCAGAGCGGAAGTGGAGAGAGGTGAGTGCAGACTGATGCAGGACCAAGGATTAGGTGAGTATATTTTCTTTATTCCGGCCTCTAGAGAAAAATGTGCAGTTAACCCTTGCAGTGCGGGGGTTGCCCCACTGCAAGGGTTAATTTTTACAATTCCTGGAGTTCCTCGTTGAGTGCTTGAGCTTAGGCATTATCTGAATGTGGGGGACCAACAATTGTTCTTTTTGGGGGCGCCTTTGCTGACTACATGTTTATCATTGAGGACCATGATTGTCTCCTTTTTTTTAAATTACCGGCATACTTTCTTGTTAGAGCAATGGTAAGTAAAAAATCAACTTGTCCATTTGCTGCTTTTACAAAGGATTTTGCTTGTAAACAGCAAATATATATTCAAACTTCAACTGTCTACCAATGTGAGGCATCCCACTAACCATTCATGTAAGAGGCCTTTCTCTGCCGACCACCAATGTAAGGGAGGCAGCTGTGCACTGACCACCAATGTAAGGGAGGCAGCTGTGCACTGACCACCAATGTAAGGGAGGCAGCTCTGCAATGACCACCAATGTAAGTGAGGCAGCTCTGCACTGATCACCAATGTAAGGGCGGCAGCTCTGCACTTACCACCAATGTAAGGGAGGCAGCTCTGCACTGACCACCAATGTAAGGGCGGCAGCAGCTCTACACTTACCACCAATGTTAGGGAGGCAGCTCTGCACTGACCACCAATGTAGAAGGCACATATGCATTGATTACTAATATAAGGTAACATTTCTTCACTGACCACCAATGTAAAGGTACATTACAGTTTTCACTGTTTGCTTTTCTGCCCATTTTTACTATTTGTTTCATTTTAATTTCATACTTATATACAGCATGATTTACAGTACAATTTACAGTCCATAGTAATGTTTGTGAGCTATAGATAAAATCATTTTTAGCAGGGCTTTGGTTAGACCTGAAATTTTATTTAAAGGGTTTCTTCAGTTTAAAAAGCTTGAAAGAGTGCTAGAGAGATGAATCATCTGACAGTTCCTTATTTCTCTTGAAGATTGTATTGTGCTAAACTCTGCATATATAATATGGCCACTGTGTTCCCACTCTACCTGTTAGATTTTTTGCAAATGTAATTTATATTCTTAAAAATACAACAGGAGGAGCTGGAACAAACAAAGGTGGGATGAAACTTTTAAACTCCCAGGTGGAGAGTAACAGAGCTGGGACTTATCACAGCGAGATCCTGATAAGGTTTATAAGGCGTATAAATACCCTCTTACTTCCTGTTGAGGCTACAAGACTGTTCCCTGCCGCTGAAACTCTGCAGCCAACACTTTCAGGGTTCTTGGAAGTCCTGTTCAGCCATTGGGTGGCAACTGATTAACTCCAAGGCATGCGCCCAAGGCATTACACCATCCCGTGGCACCCTCACTATTCATGGCTTGCACCATACAGTGTACACAGAAATCGCTGGGGGAGGGAGGAAGAATTATTTTGGGCAAAAGAGACTTTTCATATATCTCCTGCCAAAAATCCCTACCTCCCAACAATTTTTTGTTACTGACATTACGTCTGCTTTAAACGGCTCCCAAACCTTGCAACCAAAACCTTGAAACAGATATAAATGTATAATTATGCATATAACACATTTATGACCTCATTGCATGTTATCCGAAGCTTTCCTCTTACAGAGAACTCCAGTTGGAAGAAACTGTTAATTCAAATTATAATAAACAGTCCTGCTGTCCATGACATGCTTAGGCAAGCTATCTGTTCACATTACTGCTTTTCTGTTCATGAAGCTGGCCTATGTGAAAATGCTATAGAGTGTGCCACCAATCATATTACTCCTGTTGTGGGAGGAGTTTTATTAAGTTCCCTCCCGAGATATAACATTTTAAACATTTATTTTGAACTTGCTAGGCAATTTGTCAGTCAGTATTCCAAGCTCAAATTACAAGTTAAATAGCCCCTTTAGATAACCAAACAACAGCGTTTGTCCAAAAGATGCTGCCCAAAGCAACCAATTAAATTCAAACTCTCATTTATCTAAAGCTGACTTGATACCGGCAAGAGTAATGTGTATAAATGTATTGATCTTCCTAATTATAACATATTTTATTGAAAGTACAACTAACCCTAAGTATCATGGATTGGCTGCAATGCCAGTATATACAGTACATATTTAATCATTACAGTTGTTCTGCTTCTTCTCTACAGGCTATCACATAACAAGCTAATTTCCGTTCACTTTTCTTACAGAATAAAAAAATGTTACAATTTCTACCTTTCTCCTTCTCTGCCTCCTATGGAGAAAAAATACTTAAAAAGTAATTTTCGCTGTGTGCTGCTCTCCCTGATCACTTCCAATTTATGCCAGCCAATAAAGCCTGTTTAAACAAATCCCAAATGCAATATTGTAACTGAATACTACTACATTTAGGTTTCCCCTTGAAGGAACTAACAAAACATTTCAGTATCCATGTTTCACAAAGTAACAAGTTTGTAATTGCCAATTGTAACAGACCACCAGTAAAAGTATCTAAAATAAAATTAAAAAAGCAATGCAATCTGAAAGAATTGGAAAAATGTATAGGGCAGGATGTCAGTGAACTCAGTGTGTTGGACACCCATCTCCTGTTATTACTTACATGTACAAGCATACAATTTGCATCCTAAGCACATACAGACACATTTCTGTATACACACACTCGTTCACCTACAACCATTTACAGCACACATGTCACATACCCACATACCTTCATATACACCCATATCTTTCCAATCAGATGATACACTTCACACACATATACATCAATGGACAAAACAGACATCACACAGAAATTTTGCATTGCTAACACATAGGGTAAGCTTTGTTAACTAATAAATAAGACAATGGTAATGGTAAGCCTGTGCCTTTAAAATTTACTTTATTCCCCAACTGCAATTTGCAAACTGCAGTGCGCTTCTACAGGACAGTACAACTCACACTCACTATATCCTCTTTTACCTAAAGGCAGATCTCCCGGAGGGCCCTTGAGCTGGACTTCTTTCTCCTGTTCACCTCTCAGGACCGCTACAGCATCAGCAGTTACTACTTGGACTATTCGTGCAGATACCTCCTCTGCCGAAGCACCAATGGGGGCAAAACAAGACAAGCAAACAACACAGACATTGTTAATATGGTAGGGAAGGGAATTTACAGATTTCTTTTTCAGAATGGTCAATAGCCAGTCAGTGGGTCTGCTTTATCAAAACTGGAGAAAATATCTCTACACCCATTACAGCCAATCAGATTCCACTGGTTATATTAAAAGGGCAGCTTTGGAAAAAAAATTAATGTGATTGGTTGCTCTAAGCAAAATATCCTTCAATCCTAATACCTTCAATTGTTATTACTTAGCCCCAAAGTGGAATCCTACACAAATACCTGTACTAATATGATCTTCCTGAAGCGAAATGAAGATGATATTTTCCTTTTATGACAACCACAATCAACATGCTGTTAGAACTGTAGGCAGGTTACGGACATTTAAATTCTTAACAAGGAGTAAATAAGCTTTACATAGCTGAAGACTTATTTAAAGCCTATTTACAGCTTGTTAAGAATTCATAAGTATTTAAATGTCCATATGCTGGCTACAGTTCTAGTTAGGGGTTAAATCAGCTGCAAGAACTGTGGAATAATGCATCCTTTAAGTTCACAATACAAGCAGAAAAATAATTAAAGTGAGGTCTCAGCTCTCACCCCTCTGCCTCTGAATCTGCCCTGTGTATTAATTAGAGATTAGATGGCTGGCAGTTTGCCAATTAACTATTGGGAAGGGAGCTATTGAGAGAATGTGAAAGTAAAACTGAGAAGCTTCTGCTGCAATATCTCAGCATTTATTGTTCCACAGTGACTGCAGAGACAGAGGTTAGTAAGGGCTTGTTTTAAAGTTGACCTAATGCTTGTTATGAATATGCAAATATTTCAATGTTCATGGTCTGACCTCGGTTCTGACTTAAGTTGAATGGCTATAGTTAAATATATTACAAGTAAAATGTAATCATATTCATTATATATTTCATAAAGTATATTAATGGCTACAAAGTCTTCTATTTGACATCAGAACTGGCATTTGCATTGATAAAATGTATGAGGTTGATTTAGGAAGATCAGTGCCATCATTAGACAGTGCATGTTACTGTTTTACATCATGCTGACCTACAATATAGCTTTTGCAGGATTTTTGTTTTCCTGTTTCAGGTCTGCTCAGCTATAACATACTCAGGAGAAGGGTAAATATCAAATTTCTGCATGCATACTGTACATGCACAGAAATACCAATATTTGGGCTTTCTGTTAAAATTAAGAGGCATTATATTTTTGTTTTAGATTTTTTTTTCCAAAAAATCACGTCTAGTAGACCTATTCATTCATTCCCAATATTTATTTTTAGTAGATGACCCAGTGGACTGTAAATAAAATTGGCCTTTTGACATACAGCTTTACTCAGGGACATTATTCCACAGGGAAGTAAACTGCTGCTTGGGAAGTAATCTCATTCTGTTTCACTGCCGTTCTTTAAATATGATTATGTAATTCACCAAGTTTGAATGCCTGTTCAATGTTAGAAGGATTCACTCCTGGGTATATTGTGTGATAGCAAACACAAAGCATTATGCAACTTTGCAGTTTATATCTTTCCAATAAAATGATCTCCCATGAGGGAAACTGCACAAATGTTAAAACCTTGCCAAGGAAATTAGTAAATATCCTGGCCCACTGAGAAAGCTGAGCCAGATTTCACAATGTTTCAAATGGCCAAAGAGAAACAATTAAAAGACAGTGATTACAATGTTAGAGTTTATAATGTTCCAAGTTTTATTGTTACAGTTATGCTCTAAATAAAAGAAAATGTTCTTTTGTTAGTTTATTTTTTCAACAGTGTATTTTTCTGCATGTTATTTTAACTTTGTTCAGCCTTCATTCTCACAGTGATGGGTGTTCCCAACTGAATCATTTACAAAAGGCCAATAATTTTCAGTGTACATTGTTAATTCCTTTAGTTCACAAAAAGCACCTTGCAGGCAGCTGAAATATGTGCCCCCATGGGCCACTATGAGCGGATGCAGAAACATTGCCCAGTTTGGGGGTGGTTGTGTGACCCCTTCAAGGACACCATGAGTGACTGAAAAGCATTTCTAACCTTCTATAAGGAGTGTGTATTGTGCATAAAGGCTGTTGGCCAATAATAGGTACAGAGGTTGAGCCCTGTACAGTTTATTCCTGCCAACAGACTTTCATTATGGCCTCAATTCACTAATGTGCATAATAATGCATGTGGTAATATGTGGTTATGCACTGTGTGGTATTGGTGAAATGTTAATTGTACCTAAGCAGTATTCTGAAAAAAAAAACCCTGTGTCTAGAACTCCTCTTAGAAGTGCACTTCCTGATATGTGACTGTGCCTAGGCACACATCTTCTGTAAACCTTATAGCTGTATATCTGCTGTGTGGAATCAGCTTCTGATTTATTTTTTCTGTGGATCTGTGATCTCTCCTGCACCCATCATCAGATTACCAGTCAAAGTTTGCAAAACCCTGCTCCTATACCACGACTGCCGTCTCCCATAAGTTAGTAATAGAAAGCCCACTGGCAATTCCGATGACTAGTCCTATGCGCTCTGCTCAAATTTCTTCAGCAGAGATTCCACAGTACAGGTCCACTATAAAGCCACTGCGGTGCTGGACCTCTCCTTACAAATGTGTAAGTTTATTTTTTATTTTACCCTTTCTGACCTGTGCACTGTTAACACGTTTACAAGGGAGGAGGGAATGTCCCATAGGGGGCAAGTAAGTGGCATATAAGCCCCACTCCTTCTTGCTGGCGCTCTTTCCTGGGAACTGGGGTTTCTAACGAGCCTGGTTCCAGTCACAATTTGGCAATAGTGCTCTCAGAGGGATACCACCTTTTTTTTGGACCCCCCTCTTATAGCACTCCCTCAATGCTGAAGAGCAGGAGGGTTTGTATCAACATGGTAAGGTACTGCTGCCCTTTGCTACACAGATACCAGCTCACATGCTTGGTGTTTTGTTTTTTTATGTATTAAAACAAATAACCACATATTGCAACCTAGATTTCCTTTCCACGGGCAATCATTGCATTTTCATCATAAAATATAAAAAATAACCATTTCACTTTGGTGATTTTTATTTTCCAATGTGTTCTGTAGATTTCAGGTACATTTGCAGAGAATGTAATCTTCACCCTTTTTAAGGGGGTGAATTTTACAATAGGCACATTTTTCCTTTAAAGAACAGATATTGGCAAATTTTAGGGAATGTTATGTTTACTGGATACAAAAATGTTAAGTGAATGTTCAGCACATGTACATTAAATACCTTTATAAATGGGGTGGAAGTAACAGAGTGAATGTTGAGTGAAGGTATGATGAATTCTTTAAAAATGCCCCTGGGGTTAAATGCTGATGTAGAAGTAGCAAGATGGTTGTAGCGTGGAACATTGTAAAGTAGAATGAGGTTAATATGTATTTCTAATGAACAGAATTCTGATTCCTGACAAATACACACTATACAGACCACACATCAAATTGTGTAATATGAACAAACATTTAGCCAGCTACTGTACATCTGAATCATAAATATTTCTTGTTTCGATAAGCAGACCAGTCATCCATACATAGCTCACTGCATGAATCAGGCCCCTAAACTGAAATGCAACTCAAGTGTGAAACATCAATGTGTTATATAGTATTCGCTGCAAAGTGCTGTAAATTTACCATGCAATTCAGAACACATTGGAAGATAGGGCCTTCTTAGGTGCCACTATCTTGTAGGTTTATGAACTGTGACTTTATTACCCCCAGATGTCATTTGCAGCTGGCTTTAGTAGTCTGCAGTAAACAGTGACATATTACTCATATTGGGCTACGATTTAGATCTAGTGATATATCTATACGTCACACTGGATTTTAGTTTTGGCTGTACATAAAATGTATTTCTGCAATATGCACCTTATATTTTTATCTGGGCATCCGATACCTAATTGACATCAAACCGGGATCCTTTTCCTACCCTTTTAATGACAAAGATTATTACATAGGAATCAAACTAGACAATTAAAGAGAAAACAGTTGGAGTTCTGATAAAATAATTTTACTCTGAGAGTACAAACAATACAGCTGTAGGCCATTTTTATCTTTACAATAAGTGGTAAATACAGCACTGGATGTACAAACAGCAAAGGTAAATTGTTGAGACATATTTAACAAGTAAATTAAGAGATATCTGAAAAGGGGAGAAAAGAAGGTAATATAAAAAAAAAGTTGGTGAAGCAAAGTATACGATTACCACAGAGTGAGAAAGCTGGGCATGCAATTGAGACACATTAAGGGGAAGGTGGTCCTGAAACTAAAGATACAATTCAGGACATCCTAGCATTGTCAATAGTAAGATAATGAACAATATCTAACACAAAGGACAAATCCCTCATTATTAACAAGAATGAAAAAGAAACGAGTCAAGCGACCCTTGTCATGGTTAGAAACACATTTCTTCTCTCAAGCCTCAGCAACCTTGTATGTCCACTGATGGGCTTACTTCCTTGTTAGTGGAGAAAGTAAAATATTCCATATAAGCTACACCAAAGGGGTCATTTGGGCTGTTACAATCCTAGGACAATCCCTGGGCACCTTTTAGACAACACAAATGTGGCACTTTAGTAGCTTACCATAGGTAATGGTTATTATGGCCAAAGCATGGGAGTAGCTAAACAGGGTGTAGTTAAGATGAGTCTAAACTTCCCATGCCTACATGGAGAATTTAGATGCAAAAACTGAAGCACAGACACTACACACATATAATCTAGTGCAGCACACACAAAAAGAATGATAACATGCAATCAACTGCAACAAAGCTCTTACACATACATAATTTAGCCAGGCACACACAGTCAAAAGCAATACATACAGGCAACCTCAAAGTGCACACACATACATATTGCACACCATACATAAGCACAAAATCCAGCACATCACACACAAAAACACAAAATCTAAGAAAGCAGACACAACAACAGAACAAAATCCCTCTCTTATCTCCAGCACTGTTACTAATG